TTTAAACATGAAAGTCTCTTAAATTTGTAGAATCTTGAATTTTTTTGGGTTTGGGAGTTTTTGATTGTGAGTTTGATGATCACTAGGTAGTATGATTTAAGTTGAATTCTGAAATGGGTCATAACTCATAAGACAGTTAATACCTTTGATGTCTATTCCTTTGATGTTCTTGTTTTGTATTATTTGTTCAATTTCTTGCTCGTGTATATTTTTTCCTTTTTATTTAACTGTGGTGTTGAATCTGAGATTTAATTCAGTTCCACTAGGTGTTTCAAATTCAGCGTACAATTTTGACCATGGCCGTTTCTTGAGTTGTATCAGTTACAACAACGACAAGTCATGGCAAGGAGCTTCTTTTCGTGCACATTTCACGAGCTAATGACAATGGGTATAGTAGTGTTATTTTATTCTCTTGTATAGTTTTGCGTCGTTAATAATGATTGGCAATATATTAATTGCTCCTGTTTCAGCAGCATATCTTTTTGCTTGCTTGGGAGCACTATGTTATCCACATATATTGAATTAATTAATTGAGGTAAATCAGATAGTTTGATAAATGAGTTTGCAGAAACGTTTTTTAAATGCCTTATTGTCGTTTAACTTTAAAATACACTAAAAATCCATACAGCTAATATTTTGACATGTCTTCATATTTTTAACAATTTGATACTTCATATTCTCGGGTTGATTCGGTCATCGTTGGACAGGTATTGCAATTATAGCATAGCGCCGAATATTTGTGATCGTTTATTGTCTTTCTCTTTAAATCATATTTTAGAGGTTAAAACCAAAAGAGAAGAGGACCTATACTCTCATTTTATAGATGAATTTATTATGTTAGCGAAGCTTGAAAGATTCTTCTTACCTCTGCATTCTCCCTAGGATTTTTATTTTCATTTGAATTTTTCCTTAGTTAGATTGACACTGCTTGGGGGTATTTTATTGAATTCTTTGTTGTCTTATTTTGATGAGAATGTGCAGCAAGAGATCAAACTTTTTGCAGAAGATGATGTACGTTCTAGGGGTTCTCATTTATCAACTTTGGGTAAATATATATTCATCAACAATCTCTGCTTTGCATCCTCCATCTTTATTTCCCTCCTATTTTTCCTTAGCCACGTGAGTTTTATGATGGATGTTAATAATTTGATGGAAGATTTGAAGATCTTTCTTGCACTTCAAGATTGTCTTTTGAGGTCTTTTTGGTGATTCCAAAAGCCTTTGTTAGGTTTCTTACCCTTATTTCTACATTGTTCTTGTCATTCAATTTAAATTAATTAATTGTTTTCCTATCTGAGTGACATGAACGTGATCTAATTCACAATTCAGTGTTAGGATAATCCATAATTATGCTTATATTGCAACAGTATGAAGTTAATTAATAAGACTTCCTTGTAAAGTAGACCTAATATGGTGCTCTCTATTCCATTTAATTTTAGTAGATTACAACTTTCTCATCTACCTCATTTTGCTTATTCTTCTTTGCTTTTCTTCTGAATTATAATTGGTATAGTCTTAAGATGTCATATCTATCTTTATCTTCTTCCTTCAAAAATTTATATACTTCAAATAATACACTGTGTTTTATGTTTCTATAGGTATTGTAAGTGTGGGATGTCTCATAATCCAGATGATGTCGTGGTGCAGTGTGAAGGGTGCAAGGGCTGGTATGCACACATAATTTATATGCTACAAATGCATTATGTATTTTCTGTTATTGAATAAAATGATGGGTTGTGGCCTATTTCGATCCACTAATTTAAAACTGAGTACAAATTGGTACCAAGGTGAAATTTCTTCTATAATGATAATGATGTATCTTTAGTCAGGTCTTTCCCATTTATTGTGTTGACGTTGGATCTGTAATTGAAAGTGTTAATTACATTTAGTAAAATGGTGTCATTGTGTTTGGAAGAAGAGTCATTTAATTTATGAACTACTTTTCTTCTCCTCTCTTTTCGTTTTATTTATTTATTCTAATACTTAATATTGTGCATGTGTTTGATGCATGAACTCGGTTTTAGAAAGCATCTTCTATTGTAGTAAACACTAACTTTTTTTGGTCATTTTGCAATTCCATCTAGACATAGACTTGTGGGTATTTCTGATGTGGGTTTTCCTATTTTTATTTGTGATTTTATGTAGAACTAAATCAGGGACATTTAAGGAATGGAGAGGATAGATCCAAAATGTATGTATTTCATCTCTTTTTTCTTTCAATACATAGCGTTTAGATTCTTCATTTTTTTTAGATTTTTGGTTACTGTTGTTTTCTCCATTTCTTTGGCAAAAAAAATCTGAAACTATGTTCTTGCCATGACCAACCATACAACATTTTTGGATCCTCAGCAATGTTGGCTATGTAACCTTCTTGCTGGTCAGGTAGAGTTTTAAATATGTTAATTGGTTTCTTGTCTGTCTTATTTGTATGTCTCAGTTTGAATGGGAAAAAAAGAGAAAAAATGGGGCTCAAACTTGGGCTTCATTTTCCTATTATCATTGATATAGAGCTCGAAAACTCTGGTAAATGAGTTATAAAGAGCTCTGGAAACTCTGGTAAAGGAGGGGCTCTAAAATAAGAAAAATGGAGCTCTAAATAGAGAGCTTGAGACTGGTAAAAGTCTGTAGAGAAATATGATATTATTTATCTGAAAAGTAGAATTCTGGAGTTGTAGAAATCAGGGCTCACCATTGGAGTACTAAATCTTGCTATAGTCTTACCTCAGGTAGTTTATTCTCTTTATTGTCGGTTGCCTGTTTTGCTTGATTATGAATGTTGAATAGGCTTTGGCCAACTAATGTAGATGATAACTGAAACAAAATATAGCCATTTTATTTGAGTTGTCATTGTTTGTGCTACAGATGATTTTCTGATATAAAATAGTTTCTTTTTCTCATTAAATGATTGTGTCCCTTGGTGCGGGTCCGTGGGACCAATTATTTGGTGGTGGAAATATACCGGCTTTTGTCCTGGCATCAATATCTGCCTTGGTAGCTGGTGTCATTGCAATTAACATGCTTCCTACTCTTAATAGTAGTTCCTACAAACCGACTGGCTTCCACTTTGGTTGATCAAATATTCTTGGACGAGACGATTACAACTTGTATATGCCAATGTCAGCCACATAGACCAGTATCGAGCGCACAAATCTTCTGATCTTACTCTTATCATTTCTCTTCTAGGGAGATGAGTATTCCGCACTCATATTTCATTTATTTTTTTTACCCAAGTGGGCGATGGTTGTGCTAATATATATGTACATTATTTCTGTAAGAAGCATATATGATATAGCTTACAATCCCATTTGTTCATATAATCACAACATACATGTGAAGACATATATACATTTAATACAATGTGGGCTTACTTTTAATCCATTTTAAATATCCTTGTACAGCTTCTAGGAAGAGTGTTCAACATCTTCCGTGAAAATAATCCTAAGCTTGCTGGAGATCGGTGTAGGACTGTTATGAGGCCTCCTCAAGTTCTTCGCGAAGGCACAAAGAAAACTGCTTTTGTTGATTTCATGGATCTTTGCAAAACGTATGTCGTTTCCTCTTCGTTAAATTATTTCAGCTTTGCCAGTTGATAATTTTCTTTTTCGTTAATAATTTGGTCCATTAGAGCCCAATAGATTACTGCATTAAACCTGTTGTGCCAAGGGGGACGAAATTAGATTTAACTTCTGTTTGAATCCCATTCTTAAAAAATTTATTTTCGACTACACATTCTCACAATAAATAATTTTACGTGTAAACCAAAACTTTTCCTTTTTAACTGCGCCCACATTCTCCAATAAAAAAATCCCTGTTACAAAATATATTTTCCTAAAAAAGAGGGCTCAAACGAACCCTTAATTCTCCTATTTCAATTTTTCTCTGTGTTTTGGTTTGCACAAGAATTTGGGGCATGATTTTTGCACTTTTAAAGTTACATATTGATTTTCCTGATTTCCAATTCCTTGTTCCTTTTGTACCTGGTGACGGTTGTTTCTCTTTTTCCTATAGTTGAATAAATTATTCTTTGCTGTCTGTGCTTGGTAACGTTTCTAATGTTGCTTTATATTTACCCCTTCTGGACACTATCTTAGATTATAACTTTCTCAATGTGGTGTTCCTAAGTATAGGATGCATAGGCAACCAGAGCATGTTATGACTTTCTTGCTGGCTGATATGGGAACAAGTGGATCACTTGATGGTCAATAAAGATTGGTAGTCAATGGGAGATTTGAACCCAAGAACTTTGAGGGAATCCTGTGGGCTGTGGCACTATATCAGTAAATTCTTATTCTTTGCCGTATTCGTGGTGAAAACAATTAGATTAAATGCAATAAGATACACGTAATTGATAATATGAATATCTAATATATTTTGAAAAGGAGTATACTTTCTATATTTCTATTATCAGTTTCTTTTTCATGTAGAAGTTGATTTTTCCATTGTTCAATTTTAGAATTACAAAAATTATAACGGTTATCGTGCAACGCACGATCTCCACTAGTACTATAAAAACTGAAAACTACACAAAAACCACTACCTTCTCTGCCTCCGTCCTTGGCTATTCACTACCAGTAGTGTCGAAACAACCCACGACTCCACCGCATGACCAGAAACCACGTCCAATATAGTATATACAAGAACGTAGAACTCGAATTTCCAATCTAAAATAGAGATAAAAACCAAATGAAAACTCATATCTTCATTTCCCATAATCGAACCATAAAAAACTGAATCATTTCCCATGAATCATGAAAAAGTAACAGTTACTCAAAACTTTTCCTAAAATAATAACTAAAATACACCTACTAAATATGAACTCAATGCCAAGTTCAACTCATTACCGTCAATTTCGTCCCAGATACAACATAACCAGAAGGATACATTTGCCAGGTTCCTTGACTTCTATACGATTTTCCACATTTCAATTTTTTTTTCCTGGGGAGTAATGTGTAAGTACATAGTCGAATAAGGTCAAACACAAGATGAATGAGCCGAATAATCTAGTTCCCCTCGCTCAGTGCTAATTGCAAGGCGTGTTCTGCTTCTTTTAGGAACATACGAGTTAACTGCTTCTGCCCTAATCGATATACTATGCTCGACCACCTGTTCCGGCTCATCAAAGGATGCTGACGAGAGCAGTTGGTGCCATATCTGCATCAATTAAAATGATACGGGTAATTCCACAAGACAATTTTCATATTTGAAGTTGAAAAGAAATGGTAGAAGCATCAATAGTGATTTTCATATTTGAAGTTGAAAAGATCCGGTAGAAGAAGCAGTAGTGCAAAACAGAATCAAAGTCATGGCAAAATAATTAGCATTGTTCTAAGTGTCCACTACTTTATCATTTACCAGAACAACATGAGAAAAAGGTTCTGAAAATTCCTGTTTACATAAAATTTGCATCTTTAGTAGATTTTTGTCGATTGCTGCTTTTGAGAGGACGTTCAGACTGAGTATGATAAAAGTGACTCAAGGAAACTACAGCATAATTGGTTAAGAGTTAAATTTTAGTGAAATTTCATGTTGCTTACCTAAACTTCATTATGTTTCAAATTGGTCACTAAACTTTGTTACGATTTGGTCCCTTGTCCATTTCCTTTAGCTTGACTAACTGAAAACCTGACTTTGCAGTCCAGTAACTGTAGACTGCCAAGTTGGCTTTGAAGAGTAACAAATGTTCAAATCAGTGACAAAATTTTAACCAAGTTTACGTTCAATGACCAAAGAACAAAATAAAGTATGTCTCAAATATGAAATTTTGCTTAGAGTTCATTGAACACCAGTGCTTTTGACCACTAGTTTAACATCATAAGCATTCTATTTCAAAGCCATCGTGACCCCTATACACTCGACCAAGACAACTGAGTACATCTGTTACAGTGTTTGCTCAATTACCCAGGTTAGCAGATAGAGATATATGATACTGATAAAATAATGAGCTACAAGGCCTTCATGAAGCCTGGAAATAATATGTAACATCTTGAAAGCATGCATCAGTATTTACGGTACCTTCTGCAATCTTCAAGGTTTTCCATGCATCTTGCCTTCTCAAGTAGAATGGCATCACTCTCCTCTGTCCCTGAACCCTCTTCGAGTTCCATCATCCTTTTGCATGCACAAAATAGTAAAAGACGACAATATTTAGATTATGCAAATCAAAGGTATGCATCATATTTCTCAGAAACATTGACTCCATGTTTGGTACACTATAACAGATAGGACATGATAAGATTTTAAGTACTCTTTCTTCCTTAGTGTTGTCAAGTGTTATCCGGCCCTCTTCACACCAAACATTCCTTGATGATATATATATTGCATTAGGGAAATTATCAAAATGGTGGCATAGGGTGTATTTTCTAATCCTTTTAATATCCACTGTTTACATTATCATTCTGTGTTAGTTTAGATGTGATAACGTTCACCAAGTTGTTAGAAGATTACTTCATATTGATGAGATCAACGAGTAGCTGCAAAGCACTGGAGTCCCCGCAAACCTCCCATATAGCGGATCGAACTTCAGTCTCAGATGGTTGCCTCTCCCCTCCAGATCCAACAAGCTTTAAGAAAGAAATAAATTTTATAAGAAGTTGATCAAATTTATCTGATTGAGAAAATCAACGATGAGTATCACGACGTGATTTGGAAAACACGAGAACTAAAATAATTTTTCTCGACCACCAAGCAACCAATATAACGGAATTCCAACTTTCTGATATCGTTTAAAAATGAATAACCAAAAAAGGAGTATCTGAACTTATTTTTTTTCATCCATATGGTAAAAGCTATAACATCGATTCAAACTTTCTTTGCAAACATGCATGTGTGTATGTGATCCACATTCAACTGACTAAAAAACTAAGACAAAAAGTTAGTTAAAAACATAATTCTATTCTTCTTCTCAAGTAAAAGTACAACCCAATGCAAGATTAGGTAATTAATTAGCAAAATCATCAAAATAAAAGAAATCAGCTGAAGATACGGTTATATTCTGCTGATGAGAAAGCTAACCTCCTCAAGTAACGAAGAAACCTTATAAATATCGCTTTCCTTCATAGCTATCGTTCTCAAGGCAGTTAAGAAGTCATCAGGGAAAACAAGTTTACTAACGTAGGAGGGCATCTTGCGTAAACCACTCCAGCTGTAACTGGAAACCGTACCCTTTGTGGCCTCCTTAATAGTTTCTCCTGGTGCAGTACTTTGAGAGAAAAAACCATGTTTTAGCAAACTTCTTGGTAGGAGACACCTCAATTCGGCTTTCTGCAAAGACCAAAGCCATTACTCACCAATGATTAAAATGCAAAGGTGCTCATATTACGCAAACAAAAAGCACACACACGTACTACATACGAGCACTGAAGAACTTGCCGTATGAATTGTACGATGTGGCACAGTAGTTGATGACCTGTGCTTCAAGAAGCTGCAGTTTGGGCTCTGAAAAAGGAACTTCTCTAATAGCATCTACTGGATAATGAACCTGTAATGCCATTTATGAACAACATGCACGTTAACTTTTATAAGTTGACATCAAACAAAAGCTATTGCCTTGTGAACAAAATCAAATGATAGGAAAAGGGTCTCTGAGAAACTTTCAAAAGGATCATTATCAGGAAAATTTAAATCCGCAAAATCACCATGAGAAAGTCATCTGGGTTATCATTTACGACAAATCCGTAAAGGTATAGCAGTTCCTGCACAAAATTCAAATGATTGTTAAATGTCGAGAAAGCAGATTAGGACCTTCTGGTTTGCTGAATTACAAACCAATCAAATGACCTGACTGAGATCGGCAAACAAGATACTATTCATCTATGATTCAACGAGACGGACACGCGTAAGACACAACACGCCGACACACAATTTTATAAGAAGTACCGACACGACACCGGCCAACATGTTGGTTTTATTGGACAAGATATAATAAGCAACATGTGATAATGTGTCGCAACTATGTGATCTTGAGTATACCAAATAAAAAAATGAAAATACCTCATTTCCCTTGTCACCATAGCTGATTGAGATCTCTTGCTCGCTTTGGGAAAGATTTTGCCCAGCTAAAGAAGAAAAATATCATGGGTCAGAGTACTCTATCAAAACAATTATATTTAAGGTTCACTTTTCATGTTTTTATGATTACTTCAATAAATTATCCAAACAGACAAAAAAATTACCATTTTAAACGTATTTTAATAGGTCGCAGCTTAGAGAACAATCAGTTTCCTGGTGATAATGAGAATTTTTGTAAATTTTGAATTCTAAAAAACAATTTAATCATTTTTTGATTAACTCAGGTAAAGAAGTTCCAAAAAAACGATATTGCTTATCAGGTAACTGAAAATCACCTTAACCTTTGAGTAACAGAGAACTGTAAATGACACAAGGAAGGAATCCTACCTGAAAGAAGGTACATTGAGAAAGGAATTCCAGTTATTGATCCTATACCATCAACTTCCCAAGTTGCTGCAGGCTTTGTATCTAAACAAGGAAATTGCAGAAGAACAGTAGAATTTGAATACATAATTTTCAATTTGGATAGCATGGATGAAACCATGATTAAAAGGTATCCCACAGTAGAAGGGAATCAATATCATTGATTGACGATATTGAAACATTAGAACCTTCAAGATTATTTCCACGAAGGGCTTCAATTTCTCAACATGAGAAACTCCAAAAGCTAAAACAAAAGGGATGGTATCAAGTATAGATGTTAACTGAAGATGGTCTACAGTTTTCCAGCAATCACAAGTTTCAGTAACTGTTGATGGTGAAGGATCACAAATATACCAAGAAAATGCTGGACAATCAAAGTAAGAGTTCACAAATTTCAGGAAAAGAGCAAGGGATGAGTTACATTGTTTCTAATGATTCCAGAAGCAGCATAAGCAAAGGATTTAAAGGAGTGAAAAGGTCCAGAATGCAACAGTAATATAATGCATTCCTTAAAAATCAATTTAACTGATAGATCATGTGTACAGAAGTTGTGTAAATCAGAAAATTAGTTCCTTAATTTGTCCATGAACAATATTAAATAGGAAGAAGTAAAAGGTGTGTTTGGCACACCGTATTGAACAACGGGATAGGATTAGGGAGTGTAGGACTGGAGGAGAGGGGGAATGGAGTGGGGTAGATTAGAGTGCATTATCATAATACGGTGTTTGGTTCTATAACGTATTACAAAATGTATGTATATTTTAAAATAAAAATTTATAAGAACGTGAATAATTGTCTATTATATATAAAGTAAAAATCAAACTATTTAAAAATCTTTACACTATGTGTGGTGCTATACGGTGCTAGAATAGTTTATTGTACTTTACTACTTCGTACGGTCCAAACTTTCAAAACATGAATTTTTATTAATTAATTTTCTTTTTATATATTGCTGAACAATTTCATCTAAAAGCTTAACTTGTTAGAAAAGGACACATATATTATCATCATCCTCTCACACGTGTAGACAAGGCTCATTTTTTCCATCAATGCCCAAAACGCCCAAAACTTTATTAAACAGGTGATAGCAAAAATAGAATATGAGACTTTTGCCCAAGACCACGACCTCATAGAAAGGACCATATGTGTATTATTTAAATCATGTCTACATACTCCATAACATGTTTGTGTGCGTGTGTGTGTGTGTGAGTGAGAGAGAGAGAGAGAGAGAGAGAGAGAGAGATAATCAAGAAATAAATGTCCTTAACATGTTTCGTTAGTGTACCAATAGGGGGTGGGGTGAGTAGGACATTTGCACCAGATAGTTGGGGGTGGGGAGGAGGAAGGGGTTGAGGACAATTGCACTGATCAATTGAAGGAAAGAGCATTTACGAGGAAATGAGAAGCGAGATAGAAAGATTTCAGCACGATTCCATGTTTATTAAGCCTGATCTGCCCTAAACTCACATCTTTCGAAATGGTCCGTTTTGTGTAATACAAAAGTACAAGCAACCTGGATTAATTTAATCTGGGTTTTATTTGCACCAAATACACCAGATAAGATTAAAATAATCCTTACGCATTCTAAGCCAATGCGTCAAACATAACCAAAAGAAAAAGGGGTTTCAAAAATAAATAACATTTCCAAGTAGCTAAATTTCAGTAAGCCAAATGCAGTCGGATTACCGTGGTTGCAAAAGTCTATGCCCGGCACTAGACCCTCAACCCATATTGTCTCTCCTTGTGGTGAAGTGGATATAAGTCCAGAAACTTGGCTTTCAGGCTCTTTTATCTGTACAGCTGATTTCAGCAAAATCAAAGCAGCAAGGTTAAAATAAAATAAAAACTATGAACTCTCAGCAATTTGCACGTGAGAGATTGAGATGAAAGTAAAGGGAAGATGCATTGGGTAAGAATGGAAATCACTCACCTTTTCCACTTTCTTTGTAAACAAACTTCTCACTAACAATGTCATTGGCGGATGCATCAGGACCTCTGCTGTTTATGCTGTCATGCTCTTCTGGAATATTTGGGAACAGACACACACGAGGAAAAGGAATATTCAGTGCCCGAGTCCAGAAAATGGAATTTGCCCTAGATGATCAAAATCAGTAACCTATCTCAGCTTTGCAATTTTCCCGATAGTCTTTGGAATAGATGCACATTAACGATACGAACAAGCAACTAGTCTGAGAAAGATGCATACCATAGGAAGTCTTCAAATGTCACTTCTCTGCAAAAACCAAATCAGTAGAAGGAAAATGAATGTAAAGAAATCAGAAATCTAACTAGTTCCAGTACACATAAATATGAAAAGTATGCTAATGAACAATTCAACAATGAATCAGAAATCAGATATTCAAAAATTAGACTTAGCCCAGACGAGAACCATAGATGGAGGATTGCATACAAATATCCACATTGTGTTGTGTTTGGTTCAGTGGATAGAGATTAGGATAAAGTATGCAATCTCCTTACAGAATCTTATACAGCATTAACCAATTATGCAGAAATGGAGCGAACTTGTGTGTGCAATGCCTTTCAGGAAATTATTTTATAGTTATAACACACCTTTCTGGATTTCCATCAAGAGCCAAAAGCTTGTTTGCTAATTTCTTCACTTTGTCATCAAACAGAGACTGCAAGCTTTTCTTCTGTAACATAGAACTGTCTTCAATCGCATGTGCTCGATGATGAACATGAGATAGCAAGTACACAAAATTCAAGTCTTTTTCGTTCTTTTTGGGGATGTAATGGATTAAAATCTATGCAAGTACAATGCAACACAACTAAAGACTGCTCAATATACTAAAAAAATGTGATCTTGACAGCAAACTGAATCCAAAACTAGATCATTGCAGAAACCAATACGCAAATAGAAATTCAAAATTCAAAGCAATCCAAATAAATATGTCATCCATATCAGATACCGTACCTGTAGTTCGGTTGCCCTATACAGTGTTGATCCCTTAAGCTCCAAAAGCTCATCATCAGAGAACCAAAGAGGATTCCCAAACGTAGTTGGAAGTAAATCAAGATACCTGGAAATATAGTCATAACGGTTAACAATTTATACAAAAAATTCTTTCCAAAAAAGGTGTTAGATCTATGTTTTACATACGGCTTCCAAGAAGAGTTCTTCCGCAGACGTTCTACAGTTAGAAATAACATTATCAAGAATCTGTCATCTACTTCCCCTTCCTCAAGCATTGCCTTACATTCAGGTCCCAATAAAGGATCTTGTAGCACCCTTGTAGGAGTTATCGCCAAATGAAGTGGGACCACCAGTAGAATCCCTGGATTTATTTGCAAACCACAAATAATCGAACTTCTTAATCGTTTTTGATAACCCACAAAAGAAAATATTAGACCAATTTTGCTAACCAGACAAATAGTGATAGTTTAATTGACAGCTATCAGAATATGTAATCTTTATCCGAACAAAATGATGGGGAATCGCAAACTGATCTTTATCACCCTAAGTATATCGAGGGTGTGGTACTGTTCTATCTCAAAATGCATTTGACTTCAATTGGTATAAGTTTTGACAAAACTGGCCAGTAGTTCCAAATCCAGAAAAACCTGCTTAAAAAATTACTTCCCTTCACATATAATGAGCTTTTCCAACTTGTTATATTGTGAAAACTTAAGCTGAGCAGTGCCTCCTTCCTTTTAATCGTCGCATTCATTCAAGGGACATAGGGATAAATGTATTGCTGATGGATTACTCCTTCGTTCAAATTAAAATAGAAAAACAAAATTGTAAAAACCACAAAAAGATTGAAACTTTTAATAAGTTATAAATTACTTCAATTTAGTGGGATTTAGTTATTTAATACCTGTTCCATCACAAAGTTCTTCTCAATCAAACAGAGTATATAAACATTCACAAAGGCAGTAACAATTTCAAAGAATAAAAATAAAAATACAATTGTTCACCATTAGGGACGTCATGAGACGAGAAAATTCCAAATCCTTTACTGGAATCGCAGTATTTGATCTTGCAACCCCGTAGTTCCACTTCATTCACCTGAATTCAAATGACTTTGTCAATTTTTTTCCCATTAGAAAAATTGTTAATAAGAAAAATAGTAAATTATTAAAATGAAAATTGACTTCCTAAATTTTTGTTGAAGTACCTGTAGCCACTGCAGAAAATTCTCAAGCTTGGCTTCTTCTAAGGCCGCCATTGATGAAATGTAGAGGAGCTCCCACTCACTCTCACACAGTATACAGGGATTCGAAGTACGCTGTCGTATGCCCACTTTCTTGTTGGGCCCCTCATGCGTAATCTGCAAAGCCCACATACAGTGGCTTTATCAGAATTGGGCCTTGAGAGATTTTGAGACGGAACCGCACATAACAACTGCATAATGCATAGAGAAATTATAAAAAATCAGGAGTTTAAATATTATTTTTTAAAATTCAGGTCTAACGTTTATTTGTTCACAAATCAGGTAACATATAAAAGACCTAATTCACAATCCTAATTCACTAATTCTCCACTCTATTTCTCTTGTCCCTCTCGCGGCGCGCTCTCTCTATCACTTCCTGAAGCGGCACTGTAGTGGCCGGGCGGACGAAGGTGTTGCATCGGCCTGTGACACTTCAGCATCGAGGCTGCTGAGAGGGCAAACGCTCATCAGCCATCAGTAGCGACGAAATCGCCCATCAGTCGTGACGGCAATCGCCGACAATCGCTCTATCACACATCAGTCTC